AGAAAATGGAACTCGAGGACGATGTCTGTTGATAGTGGTACAGAAAATGGAACTCGAGGACGATGTCTGTTGATAGTGGTACTGACAATTGAACTCTGGGACAAAGTCTGTTGATAGTGGTAAAGACAATGGAACTTGGGGACAATGCCTGTTGATAGTGGTACAGACAATGGAACTGTGGGACAATGTCTGTTGGTAGTGGTACAGACGATAGAACTATAGGAAAATGTCTGTTGATAGTGGTACAGACAATGGAACTCTGGGACAATATGTCTGTTGATAGTGATACAGATAATGGAAGTATGGGACCATGCCTGTTGATAGTGGTACAGACAATGGAATCTGGGTACAGACAATGGAACTCTGGGACAATGTCTGTTGATAGTGGTACAGACAATGGAACTCTGGGACAATGTCTGTTGATAGTGGTACAGACAATGGAACTCTGTGACAATATGTCTGTTGATAGCGGTACAGACAATGGAACTCGAGGACGATGTCTGTTGATAGTGGTACTGACAATTGAACTCTGGGACAAAGTCTGTTGATAGTGGTAAAGACAATGGAACTTGGGGACAATGCCTGTTGATAGTGGTACAGACAATGGAACTGTGGGACAATGTCTGTTGATAGTGGTACAGACAATGGAACTCGAGGACGATGTCTGTTGATAGTGGTACTGACAATTGAACTCTGGGACAAAGTCTGTTGATAGTGGTAAAGACAATGGAACTTGGGGACAATGCCTGTTGATAGTGGTACAGACAATGGAACTGTGGGACAATGTCTGTTGATAGTGGTACAGACAATGGAACTCGAGGACGATGTCTGTTGATAGTGGTACTGACAATGGAACTCTGACAATGCCTGGTGATAGTGGTACAGACAATGAAACTCTGGGACAATGTCTGTTGATAGTGGTAGAGACAATGGAACTTGGGGACAATGCCTGTTGATAGTGGTACAGACAATGGAACTGTGGGACAATGCCTGTTGAGAGTGGTACAGACAATGGAACTCTGTGACAATATGTCTGTTGATAGCGGAACAGACAATGGAACTCTGGGACAATATGTCTGTTGATAGCGGTACAGACAATGGAACTCTGGGACAATATGTCTGTTGATAGTGGTACAGACACTGGAACTCTGGGACAATGTCTGTTGATAGTGGTACAGACACTGGAACTCTCGGACAATGTCTGTTGATAGTGATACAGACACTGGAACTCTGGGACAATGTCTGTTGATAGTGGTACATGCAATGGAACTCTGGGACAATGTCTGTTGATAGTGGTAGGAAAATGGAACTCTGGGACAATGTCTGTTGATAGTGGTACAGACAATGGAACTCTGGGACAATGCCTGTTGATAGTGGTACAGACACTGGAACTCTGGGACAATGCCTGTTGATAGTGGTACAGACAATGGAACTCTGGGACAATGTCTGTTAATACCGAAATATCAGCTGCTAACTGCTTTCAGGGCACTAATTCTAACACTACAGTCTATGTTACAGTTGCCTGATTTCAATGTCGTGGTGGTTACATGTTGTGGGAATGTTATCAATAAACATATCAAAGGTTTTGAAATATCTTTAAAACGATCAATCGGTATATAACTTATCCATGTTACCCCCATTCTATCTAAGTAATATCACCTTATAATTCGCCTAACCATCTCAGAACAGTTTGGTCGGAATTGGTCTAATATCTATTTTCTCTGTATTTTATCATATCATTCTGTTAAAGTGAATGCAAGACGCAAGAATAAGTATAATTGTGGAATTAAAAAAAAAGTTACCATGCAAAAATGTAAAACCGAGAATAAATCTCTACTTTTTCAAAACTATTTGAACAAGTGCAATTCTACTTAAGTGTTGGATTCGATATTGGGCATAGCTACCTCTGTGAGACCAGTGATTCTATAACCATTGGTAAATACTAAAAATGTGTTTTCTTGTCTATAACATGGCAATTACACGAGGGAGAAAGGCTTCCGAGAATTATCTAGATAAAACATTGCATCAACCAGCCATTTAACAATCCATATTCGACACAGGTGTGCATGCAGATAAAAGGAAACAACAATAGATTCCAGTGCCTTTAGGAATCAGTTTTCTTCTACGATTAAATTTAGATATCTTAGAAGAAATAATTGAAACATTCCACGTTAATCTGTAAGGAGCCCGTGTGTTTCATGTGAAGACTAACAGCACGTGCATCAGTGAAGATAGCGGAAGAAAGAAAACTGGAGATGGAGTTTACCCGTGAGTTTGCCTGTACTGGTACCGCACACAGACGAGGGGAGCCCTGTAATGTTAGTTCGTATTACACCATAATGTTTTCTCTCATATAAACTTTTAATCTTATGTAGATATGTAAGTTATTTACCATCAATAACAAGGTATTGTGATATAGTGAGCATTCACTCGAATATTACACATAGATTTCGCGTTTACAAGGTTTACACATAGCCTGAACCAGTCCATGCATATATATATATACATCAGTAAAATCGCGTGAAAAGCGATCACTATCAATTAATAATTATGTAATTATAATAATTATATATTAAGAAATGAATTATATATGTTTTTCATATCGTCAGGATATTGTGATATATATATATATGTTGTTATTTTATATCGCACCAATATTACACTAAATAGGTATCTGATGTAGATAACGAGAAAAAAATATTTACAATTTTCCGACAACTTTACCTGGTCCAGCAAATGACAATAGTTTGATGTCAAATATTCGTTGGCGTATCATAATGTATAAATCAACTTAATGTTACAAGGGATACGGGTACAAACATTGTTCAGGTTTTGTTACCGCTTATTGTGCGTCAAGACGATTTTCAAGTGACAATTATTCCCTAAGGTGTTGTGACACTTGGTTTATTAGGCGACTCCCGGGGAGGCCTTACATATCTTTATATAGGTATATACATTTGTATATGTGTACATAACTAGTTGTGGCACCTGCAGATGTTCATTCTTGGTTAAAAAATGTCAGTTTATAGATATTTCTATATTCATATCTTGATATAAAACTGAAGGATATATATATAGTTAATTATAGTAGAGTATCTATTAGTGTACAACTGAAAGATTTATAAAACTGGACTATTTGGTGTCGCCCTTTGTCACCTCGATGTATACATATATTTATCTATATATCACAGTTCCTGGTCATTACTATTAAGTTAACACTTGATATGGTAGATCAAGATCATTACAGATCCGTGTCAATTTGTTTATTGATATGAAATAAAGAAATAAAAACACGGACGAAATGTTACTTCATATACATCTCTAGGTATGTCCTGTAGCTACAATCCTACTTAGACATTTGTGTTATACGTACCATGTTGAGAATCTGATAGAAATAATTTAATGTTCATATTGTTGTTACGACAATGTATGTCTCATCGCCGTCATATAGACGGTGCTGTAGGCGGGTTATTAATGATATATTTGTACAGCTCTACTGACACTGATCTCAACAGTTATCATTGTTACTTTGGTCTCACAACACTTACAGTATCTAATTCTACGACTAATATTATACCTAAAAAGAGATATTCGATACAACGTTAATTGGAAAATAATAATAATAATAATAAATCATAATTCTGTAATTTTCGCCTTTGGTTTTGATGAGACAATGTAAACAGATGAATGTAAACAGATATGAACTGGGTAAGAAAGGTGTATAAATGTATACATACATGCACTAGTACCAGCAGAACGATTGTTTAAACCATGACTGCACATGATTTTGTTGCGAGCACAGTCTATAACCATACAGTGACGATCTACACAGGACAGAAAGAACACAAAGTTATCGTATTATCATCAGGTATACATAATACTGGCTATTTTCACCATCGAACAACTGCTGACCGTATCGGAATGATGGTCAGGGCGAGAGTGGTCAAGGTCAGAAAACGGCACGAAAGGTATTTAACTGATTAATTATGATAATTTAAAACACATATAAATATTGATAAATCGGGTTAATTATAAATCCCCCCTCCTTTTTTGTTCGAGATGAAACATTTCATTGACTTTTAAGTGATTTTTACATTCTCTGCAGCTAACACAAATAGTGAAAATATATTTATGGGTACGAAACTATGGTATAGTGACATAGTGTACAATGATATATAAGCGATAGAAACATTATCTTAATAATGTATTTAGGTGTGTTTATTTAGGTTAGCAAATCCCTCTAAAACATGACACCATTACCTTCAAGTTTGATTAAAAGAAAAGTCATGTCCTCATTCACATGCCTGTAATACTACGTCATCAACAGTAGTGTACATGTAATACTACGTTATCAACAGTAGTGTCCATGTAATACTACGTCATCAACAGTAGTGAACATGTAATACTACGTCATCAACAGTAGTGACCATGTAATACTACGTCATCAACAGTAGTGTACATGTAATACTACGTCATCAATGATAGTGAACATGTAATACTACGTGATCAACAGTAGAGAACATGTAATACTACGTCATCAACAGTAGTGTACATGTAATACTACGTTATCAACAGTAGTGTACATGTAATACTACGTTATCAACAGTAGTGTACATGTAATACTACGTCATCATCTATGGTAGCGAACATGTAATACTACGTCATCAATAGTAGTGTACACTTATGACGTTTTATGAGCGCAGCAGTTGTTCGATGATGTGGTAGATATAGCCGGTACATAGAAGGAAACAGTGTTATATTAGTCAGACATGTTACATATATACAAAGGTGAACGTTGTCGTTACTAACGTTAATTAATGGTGTCAATGATTTCATGCTATTACGATAAAAGTTTGATACAGACATTTGGTTTCATTGGAGAGACATATTTAACGTCTTAGCGTAGAAAAATACATGCTAACACTGATGGGTTAGAATATTCTGTTAATGAACATGAAATAAAAGAGTTGTTCCCCTTACAACACGTATGATACACATACTTCCTTCTGGCCCTGGATGTTTAACGTTGATGTCGTTGATGCTGACCTGACCGAACATCGACCAGAAGAGGCTATAGAACGTCTGTCGTAACCTGTAACCATAGATACAACAGTCAGTTGTCAGTCGTAACCTGTAACCATAGATACAACAGTCAGTTGTCTGTCGTAACCTGTAACCATAGATACAACAGTCAGTCTTAACTTGTAACCATAGATACAACAGTCAGTTGTCTAACGTAACCTGTAACCAAAGATACAAGTCAGTTGTCAGTCGTAACTTGTAACCATACATACAACAGACAGTTATCAGTCGTAACTTGTAACCATACATACAACAGACGGTTATCAGTCGTAACTTGTAACCATACATACAGCGGACAGTTACCTTTCGTAACTTGTAACCATACATACAACAGACAGTTACCTTTCGTAACTTGTAACCATACATACAACAGACAGTTACCAGTCGTAACTTGTAACCATACATACAGCAGACGGTTATCAGTCGTAACTTGTAACCATACATACAGCAGACGGTTATCAGTCGTAACTTGTAACCATACATACAGCAGACGGTTATCAGTCGTAACTTGTAACCATACATACAGCAGACGGTTATCAGTCGTAACTTGTAACCATACATACAGCAGACGGTTATCAGTCGTAACTTGTAACCATACATACAGCAGTCGTAACTTGTAACCATACATACAGCAGACGGTTATCAGTCGTAACTTGTAACCATACATACAGCAGACGGTTATCAGTCGTAACTTGTAACCATACATACAGCAGACGGTTATCAGTCGTAACTTGTAACCATACATACAGCAGACGGTTATCAGTCGTAACTTGTAACCATACATACAGCAGACGGTTATCAGTCGTAACTTGTAACCATACATACAACAGACAGTTACCTTTCGTAACTTGTAACCATACATACAGCAGACGGTTATCAGTCGTAACTTGTAACCATACATACAGCAGACAGTTATCAGTCGTAACTTGTAACCATACATACAGCAGACAGAGTCACTTGTAACCATACATACAGCAAACGGTTATCAGTCGTAACTTGTAACCATACATACAGCAGACAGTTATCAGTCGTAACTTGTAACCATACATACAGCAGACGGTTATCAGTCGTAACTTGTAACCATACATACAGCAGACGGTTATCAGTCGTAACTTGTAACCATACATACAGCAGACGGTTATCAGTCGTAACTTGTAACCATACATACAGCAGACGGTTATCAGTCGTAACTTGTAACCATACATACAGCAGACAGTTACCAGTCGACACTTGTAACCATACATACAACAGACGGTTATCAGTCGTAACTTGTAACCATACATACAGCAGACGGTTATCAGTCGTAACTTGTAACCATACATACAGCAGACGGTTATCAGTCGTAACTTGTAACCATACATACAACAGACGGTTATCAGTCGTAACTTGTAACCATACATACAGCAGACGGTTATCAGTCGTAACTTGTAACCATACATACAGCAGACATTCGTAACTTGTAACCATACATACACGGTTACAGACGGTTATCAGACGGTATAACTTGTAACCATACATACAAGCAGACGGTTATCAGTCGTTTGTAACCATACATACAGCAGAGACGGTTATCAGTCGTAACTTGTAACCATACATACAGCAGACGGTTATCAGTCGTAACTTGTAACCATACATACAGCAGACGGTTATCAGTCGTAACTTGTAACCATACATACAGCAGACGGTTATCAGTCGTAACTTGTAACCATACATACAGCAGACGGTTATCAGTCGTAACTTGTAACCATACATACAGCAGACGGTTATCAGTCGTAACTTGTAACCATACATACAGCAGACGGTTATCAGTCGTAACTTGTAACCATACATACAGCAGACGGTTATCAGTCGTAACTTGTAACCATATATACAGCAGACGGTTATCAGTCGTAACTTGTAACCATACATACAGCAGACGGTTATCAGTCGTAACTTGTAACCATACATACAGCAGACGGTTATCAGTCGTAACTTGTAACCATACATACAGCAGACGGTTATCAGTCGTAACTTGTAACCATACATACACCATACATACAGCAACTTGTAACCATACATACAGCAGACGGTTATCAGTCGTAACTTGTAACCATATATACAGCAGACGGTCATCAGTCGTAACTTGTAACCATACATACAACAGACGGTTATCAGTCGTAACTTCAACCTATAAGTATTTCCTAATGAATAACAATGAAAAGGACATGGTTGAAATGTAATAATCTGTAGTAACACGTACATTGTAAACTGTAGCTCTGTACATTGTGTCTGCCGTAACAATGATATTTCAGTCTAAAACCTCGGATTGAGAGTATGTCGTGTTACCCCAACACCGAACAGAAGTCTTTTTGTTTGTAACTTTGGTTAGAGAGTATGTCGAATCCCTAACACCGAACAGACTTTTTTAGTTTGTAACTTTGGTTATAGAGTATGTCGTGTAACCCCAACACCTAACAGAAGTCTTTTCCGGTTGTAACTTTGGTTAAAGAGTATGTCGTGTTACCCAACACCGAACAGAAGTCCTTTTGTTTGTAACTTTGGTTAGAGTGTATCGTAACCCCAACACCTAACAGAAGTATTTTTCGTTTGTAACTTTGGTTAGAGAGTATGTCGTATCCCTAACACCGAACAGAAGTCTTTTCCGGTTGTAACTTTGGTTAAAGAGTATGTCGTGTTACCCAACACCGAACAGAAGTCCTTTTGTTTGTAACTTTGGTTAGAGAGTGTATCGTAACCCCAACACCTAACAGAGGTATTTTTCGTTTCTAACTTTGGTTAGAGAGTATGTCGTATCCCTAACACCGAACAGAAGATTAACATTAATTAACAGCATTGCGAGATGTTACACAAATAGGAATCGATTTCATATTTTAGTTCTAAAATCAAAAAATCAAAATCGAACAGATACTGTGTATATCTTCAGGAAATCTGATATTTCCGACAATGTTTCACGTTTTTGTTTTGATAACATCCGTTTCCTTTTTTCTTTTAGAAGATAAAACATCAAAAGACGAAATAAACATGTTAGACATATTACCCCTGAAAAGCCTCCGCCGCGTGTACGTAGACAATCTGTCCGTTCATAGTCATCTTAATTCTTTGAGCTCCATAGTACCAGTACAGATTATGGAGACCTACCATGAATGCAAACAGGACCTAAAATACAAAACGGATCATGTTAAACAGTCAAATTAGTAATTATACAATAAACTTTAGACTAGATTAGAGTTCATTCATTGTACAAAATAAATTATTTATTTCTGTTAATGATAAAATTGTACAAATGATTTCTTGCCACATTTCTGTGAATGATAAGGTTGTACAAAATTAATGATTTCTTTAATGATTAAATTGTAGAAAATATTGATTTGTTCTGTTGATAATAGTAGGAATCAAAAGTAAACACACGACCGACCAATCTTATTTTATAAAAAAATTTAAACCAGTAAATAAATTTAATAAGCAGATTATCAACACTCGAGATAAATACAGTTACATGTAAGACAGACATCTTTATCAACTCCTCAGTAAAACGGAAGTTTAAGGGATGGATAGATCGTCCATCACATGTAATCATGTTCCTCAAACATCTTTAAAAAGTCAAAAATACATTATTAAATGAAATCGGTATTCGACTATCTAAATGCAATAGAGGAGAATAACAAAATAAAAATGCCGTCAATTGAAAAACATGCTTTTTTAGTTGAAGAGAGAGATATGTTTGGTATTATATACAAATAAAATGTTCAGCTATTAATCATACGTTAACATTGTGTGTTATACTGATTTGTGGGTAAGTAACATAAGGCAGTGTAAGATGAGAACCAGTCATCATTTACCACTAAAATAAAGAACAATTATTTGAGGATAGGACGTTGAGGAGTTGCTCCCCTTGAACAGATATGGAACCTGTAAGATTAACCCTAATTCTATTCTTTAATCGTTTATTACACATCAAGATTAAAATGTCAAGTCATTTCTCCTATATGTCGATTAAAAAAGTGATGTTAATATGATTTAGTGCTAGCATAGCCTTGAACTTATTATTTCGTGGTCTATTCAAAATATATCTGCACACAAATTACTACACTGGCTTTGACATCGTGTAGTTTATCTAAACAAATTTAACCCCATCATGCTACTAGCATTGACATCGTGTAGTTTATCTAAACAAATTTAACCCCATCATGCTACTAGCATTGACATCGTGTAGTTTATCTAAACAAATTTAACCCCATCATGCTACTAGCATTAATCAAAATTATTCAAAGTGCTTTGATACCCATGACCCCTTCGAGCTTGAAAGGCAAAGTAATTAATTTTAACAAAATAGATTGCCTATTATCCCAGAATGTGACCTACTCTCTGTAGTTATTTAAAGAAAAGTCGGAAGCCGTGCCACATCTCACGTGCATCACAGCCTGATACCTATGTACCTACCAACATAAAAAGCACCATGAAGCGCGTGATGTCGCCAATCATTCGACCAAGGGAGATCTGCAGCGGTCCCAGGACCTCAAAGGCTGGCATGAGGTAGGTGGTTCTGGCAAAACTGATCACATTGGCTATAGCAAACAGGACATCAGACACAATTTCGGGATCGTCTGGTTTCCAGTGGAACCGAGCTAATTGGATATCGAAAAAAGAACGCCTCGTTACTTTATGCATACGATGCGTTTCGTTATTTTGATCTAGAAAAAAAAACGTTCACAACCTTCACCTTAAAGTTCGGTTAACACAAATGAGCCGCATTGAAGGAATGAAGGAAATAAAATCATACAAATGAATAAGTATTTATTTACAGGTAAAGCGTTTATAATGTCTCGTGTTAAGAGACATAGATATCCATCGTAAAAAGATGGACCAATTTTCTTGTGCGCAATTAACATTGCTTCAAATAAAATCATAGCACCATTCTCATACTTACTTCAAACATAAATCGCTACTACAGCTCTTTATTTTTAATACAAGCTTTATATCAACATTACCACAATCTAACCAGTCACTACTACCTCTAACATAACACACATTAAACCTTTACCGGACTACTACCTCTAACATAACACACATTTAATCTTTACCGGACTACTACCTCTAACATAACACACATTTAATCTTTACCGGACTACTACCTCTAACATAACATAACACACATTTAACCTTTACCGGACTACTACCTCTAACATAACACACATTTAACCTTTACCGGACTACTACCTCTAACATAACACACATTTAACCTTTACCGGACACTACCTCTAACATAACACACATGTAACCTTTACCGGACTACTACCTCTAACATAACACACATTTAACCTTTACCGGACACTACCTCTAACATAACACACATTTAACCTTTACCGGACTACTACCTCTAACATAACACACATTTAACCTTTACCGGACTACTACCTCTAACATAACACACATTTAACCTTTACCGGACTACTACCTCTAACATAACACACATTTAAACACACATTAACATAACACACATTTAACCTTACCGGACTACTACCTCTAACATAACACACATTTAACCTTTACCGGACTACTACACATTTAACCTTTACCGGACTACTACCTCTAACTACCTCTAACATAACACACATTTAACCTTTACCGGACTACTACCTCTAACATAACCCACATTTAACCTTTACCGGACTACTACCTCTAACATAACACACATGTAACCTTTACCGGACACTACCTCTAACATAACACACATTTAACCTTTACCGGACTACTACCTCTAACATAACACACATTTAACCTTTACCGGACTACTACCTCTAACATAACACACATTTAACCTTTACCGGACTACTACCTCTAACATAACACACATTTAACCTTTACCGGACTACTACCTCTAACATAACACACATTTAACCTTTACCGGACTACTACCTCTAACATAACACACATTTAACCTTTACCGGACTACTACCTCTAACATAACACACATTTAACCTGTACCGGACTACTACCTCTAACATAACACACATTTAACCTTTACCGGACTACTACCTCTAACATAACACACATTTAACCTTTACCGGACTACTACCTCTAACATAACACACATTTAACCTGTACCGGACTACTACCTCTAACATAACACACATTTAACCTTTACCGGACTACTACCTCTAACATAACACACATTTAACACCTTTACCGGACTACTACACTCTAACATAACACACACATTTACCGGACTACTACCTCTAACATAACACACATTTAACCTTTACCGGACTACTACCTCTAACATAACACACATTTAACCTTTACCGGACTACTACCTCTAACATAACACACATTTAACCTTTACCGGACTACTACCTCTAACACACATAACACACATTTAACACACATTTAACCTTTACCGGACTACTACCTCTAACATAACACACAACACACATTTAACACTTTACCGGACTACTACCTCTAACATAACACACATTTAACCTTTACCGGACTACTACCTCTAACATAACACACATTTAACCTTTACCGGACTACTACCTCTAACATAACACACATTTAACCTTTACCGGACTACTACCTCTAACATAACACACATTTAACCTTTACCGGACTACTACCTCTAACATAACACACATTTAACCTTTACCGGACTACTACCTCTAACATAACACACATTTAACCTTTACCGGACTACTACCTCTAACATAACACACATTTAACCTTTACCGGACTACTACACTCTAACATAACACACACCTTAACACACATTTAACCTTTACCGGACTACTACCTCTAACATAACACACATTTAACCTTTACCGGACTACTACCTCTAACATAACACACATTTAACCTTTACCGGACTACTACCTCTAACATAACACACATTTAACCTTTACCGGACTACTACCTCTAACATAACCCACATTTAACCTTTACCAGACTAAGCTAAATATGTCGTATATATTAGACCTTTATGACAAGGGAGTTTTCTTCCCTGCCTAGTTTAGACTCAAATGACGATTAAAAGATGACACGATTTCTGGAGTTTCGTCAGTTATATTTATATCAGGGTTGCGGCGATGTGTTGAGATATGTCTAGATGTAACAGAGTCTGACGGGAACCGTCTGCTGTTTACTACAATCAGGCTAATAAAAGATGGTGAAAACTGGATTATGGGTGAAACTGGAGATATGGTTATCAGTAAGAATAAATCTAAAGAAGGATTTCAACAATATACAACGCTTGATTAACAGATGGATCTCCAAGAATCGATGTAATCTTAGTCAACCTTAGAGGAGGGAGTATTGATCTCGGACGCTGTACTGCATTGTGGTATTAGGTAGGCACATGTTAGTAGTTACACAAGCGTTCCGAAATGACGTAGATCAAACAAGACGTGCCTAATATGTTTTATCAAATGCCAATATTTCTTTACTCAATAACGAATACTTATTTCCCCGACAACTCAATCAAGCTTCCTTTTCTGAATCAACTATTTCATTGTACAATTGTCATAGGAAAGTTTAGTGTATACTGTTCTATAGAATACAACTTCTCATAACACAACCAGCAGAAGATTAGAGTGTGACGGTGACTACACGGTCACCTTCATCTTATAACACAACCAGTAGAAGATTAGAGTGGGACGATGACTACACGGTCACCTTCATCTTATAACACAACCAGTAGAAGATTAGAGTGGGACGATGACTACACAGTCACCTTCATCTTATAACACAACCAGTAGAAGATTAGAGTGTGACGATGAGTACACGGTCACCTTCAACTTATACCACAACCAGTAGAAGATTAGAGTGTGACGATGACTACACGGTCACCTTCATCTTATAACACAACCAGTAGAAGATTAGAGTGTGACGATGACTACACGGTCACCTTCAACGTATACCAAAACCAGCAGAAGATTAGAGTGTGACGTTTCGATGACTACACGGTCACCTTCAATTTATACCACAACCAGTAGAAGATTAGAGTGTGACGATGACTACACGTTCACCTTCATCTTATACCACAACCAGTAGAAGATTAGAGTGTGACGATGACTACACAGTCACCTTCATCTTATAACACAACCAGTAGAAGATTAGAGTGTGACGATGACTACACAGTCACCTTCATCTTATAACACTACCAGCAGAAGATTAGAGTGTGACGATGACTACACGTTCACCTTCATCTTATAACACAACCAGTAGAAGATTAGAGTGTGACGATGACTACACGTTCACCTTCATCTTATAACACAACCAGTAGAAGATTAGAGTGTGACGATGACTACACGGTCACCTTCAACTTATAACACAACCAGCAGAAGATTAGAGTGTGACATTTCGATAACTTCATGGTCACCTTCGTTAGAAAAAATGACCAGTGTGAAGCGTACCAACACTGACGTAAACAAAAAACTGTATTCTATTGACTTTGTCAACACGAAGAAAACGTTCCCAAGTATACTATTCTACTTACACGCCTCCATGAAGTAGTTGGTCGGCGAGTTCGACGGGTCCTTGATTTCATCCAAGAGAAGGTTAAAGTAGGTATAATTTGAGTGTTTCAGTAATTCATGGCCGCGCATGGTTCCATTAAAATACCTGTAAACATAGGTGCGAGGCATCAGAAATGGCACAATTCAACAATATAGATGGATGGTGATGTTTGTGATGACGGCATTGATAAAGTAATGGTGGACTTAAATACATGGGAAGGCGAGATAATTAGATTGTGTCATTTTTGTTCACAATCAGTAGCTCCGTTCTCTTCATTTAATAAAAAGTCATTTGAAGAAGCAGTCCTATTTTAGTTGGCGTTTTTATATATTTATCTATTGTCTAGTTTATTTGGTTTCTGTTGCATGTGGTGCATGCATGGAGGTCTCGTCTTTGCATCACGTGACAGGGATGAGAACTCTTTTGTGATAAAGATTCCGTCACGTGGTACACAACGTCATGTATGTTTTGTGACAATCTGTATACTGTAACATGGATACAACAAATAGCGACTGTCAGTAATGTAATTTATAAATGTTGAGTTTATACATTATATATGCAGACAGCACTTAAATAGCTATACAGCTGATATGGTTATGGCGATTTATCGTTCGCTTTAGTATAGACACAGGCAATATGTCTTTAGTAATAACACTGAGTTTTCTGTGTACTTAGGGATGACCGTTATCCTGGCGATCACCACAACTCCTGACGGGCTTTTCTATGAAAAAAAAGATAAAATTTACCATGGCCACTGTCGAAACTAAAGTGTATTACTCCTCACGATTTTTGAAAGATTTTGATAACATATATATATATATACAACCCCGGGCTCGGGGAATACCGCTAGTCAGTAAGGTTTTATCATTAGGACTGGGAAATAGACAAGAAGTTTGTTGAAAAACAGATGACCCTCCAATCATATATAGCCTTGTCTAACTCTCACTAACTGCTATATAATATGAAATGATAAATGATTTGAATGAGGAAGCCCTGCAGTCTGTGATACTTATCACAGAGGTATAGCTACTGGAACACAACAGCAGCAGCACTGTACACTGCACCTCCGCATTGTAGTCGGCATGAACGCTCTGTTGTTGTAAACAGGAAAATACTAGTTCTTGCGACAGAAACGTTAGTGGTACCCAAAACATTTCTGAAATATGTTATATTTAATCAGTTAGAAGTATCTAAATGATTTGTACAGATATTAAGTAGTATTTGTTGTACCTACATGGTAACAGATGGTAGTACATGGTCTACTTTATACTGGTCGATTTCCCGGTCAGATCACCTTGGCGGCGCCGCTTGATATTTTTGTCTTAGATATTAAGTTATTGCTACTTACAAGTCTATGTTGCTGCTTGAAAACAACAAGAAAGTACCAACATGTATTGCTTGATGAAGGAACATCCACCTACCTGCCAACTAACAACCCCTTCAGGATATTTCATGATGATAAATTGAGGCCAATTTACGTTGAATAGAAAGTTGGTATTTGTGTTCGCTATCTTGTGTTTTATGCACAACTTAATTACACATTACTACTTATATACCTGTAACTACTTTGGTTATATTGTTTATTATTATGTATCATAATGATTCGGTCTTGTCTGCTTCATTGTGAAACAGTTTCCCTCGGATTGATAAGTGAACACCTGTATATAATAAACAGATGCTTTATCTGTGAAGTTCTGCAGATTACAGAAACGCATGTGTTTAAGGTGTGTCGTACTACCTACCTGTGTGTAAGGTGTGTCGTACTACCTACCTGTGTGTAAGGTGTGTCGTACTACATACCTGTGTGTCGTACTACTTACCTGTGTGTAAGGTGTGTCCTACTACCTACCTGTGTGTAAGGTGTGTCGTGCTACCTACCTGTGTGTAAGGTGTGTCGTGCTACGTATATGTGTGTCGTGCTACCTACCTGTGTGTAAGGTGTGTCGTGCTACCTACCTGTGTGTAAGGTGTGTCGTACTACCTACCTGTGTGTGAGGTGTGTCGTGCTACCTACCTGTTGGCGTTTGTCACCTTGTATTCCGTGAAGAATCTCATAACGTAGGATGCGAGGTACATGGAGAGCACACTAAAGTCCATGAAGTTGATATAGTCGGTTAGGTAGGACCGTGCACCGGTATGGTAGATCTGTTTACACTCTATCCAAAGTAAACCTGTGGCATACAGAATACGGATAAACTTGAGGCATACAGAATATGTATAAACTGTGGTATACAGAATACGGATAAACTTGAGGCATACAGAATATTGATAAACTGTGGCATACAGAATACGGATAAACTTGTGGCATACAGAATATGGATAAACTTGAGGCATACAGCATACGGATAAACTGTGGCATACAGAATACGGATAAACTGAGGCATACAGAATATGGATAAACTGTGGCATACAGAATACGGATAAACTTGAGGCATACAGCATACGAATAAACTTGAGACATACAGAATATAGATAACCTAGGGTATACAGAATACGGAAGGAAGATATTGGTAACAGATGACAAAGGACTTATATCTAAAACACAATACAGTGAGGTGGTGACAAAGGACTTGTATCTAAAACACAATACCGTGAGGTGGTGACAAATGTCTTATATCTAAAACACAATACAGTGAGGTGGTGACAAATGTCTTATATCTAAAACACAATACCGTGAGGTGGTGACAAATGTCTTATATCTAAAACACAATACAGCGAGGTGGTGACAAATGTCTTATATCTAAAACACAATACAGTCTTATATCTAAAACACAATACAGTGAGGTGGTGACAAAGGTCTTATATCTAAAACACAATACAGTGAGGTGGTGACAAAGGTCTTATATCTAAAACACAATACAGTGAGGTGGTGACAAAGGTCTTATATCTAAAACACAATACAGTGAGGTGGTGACAAATGTCTTATATCTAAAACACAATACAGTGAGGTGGTGACAAAGGTCTTATATCTAAAACACAATACAGCGAGGTGGTGACAAATGTCTTATATCTAAATCACAATACAGCGAGGTGGTGACAAATGTCTTATATCTAAAACACAATACAGTGAGGTGGTGACAAAGGACTTGTATCTAAAACACAATACCGTGAGGTGGTGACAAAGGTCTTATATCTAAAACACAATACAGTGAGGTGGTGACAAAGGTCTTATATCTAAAACACAATACAGCGAGGTGGTGACAAATGTCTTATATCTAAATCACAATACAGCGAGGCGGTGACAAATGTCTTATATCTAAAACACAATACAGCGAGGTGGTGACAAATGTCTTATATCTAAATCACAATACAGTGAGGTGGTGACAAATATCTTATATCTAAAACACAATACCGTGAGGTGGTGACAAATGTCTTATATCTAAAACACAATACATTGAGGTGGTGACAAAGGTCTTATATCTAAAACACAATGCCGTGAGGTGGTGACAAAGGACCTATATTTGTCCAATACCTGGGTAATTACATAATGATGTCTAGAACACCATACTGTCGAGGTATAGCACACCATAGAATTATAATAGTTTGTATCCCTCACCTTTGGAATTTGATATTTGTGTTTGTAGTGATTACGTCATTTTTGTAATCTATGTATTTAGAACATTATTCAAATATTGTCGATGTATATTTACCTAATATCCAAAACACTATACAGATTTGGACATGAGTGAGAAGTGTGCTGGATGGCCTTAAAGTTTCCTTCATTAGGCTCTGTATCTTCTCATCGTGCGAGAGGTGCACGAACGCCGGACTGTTCATCTCTCTTGTGGAGGTAATGGAAACACCGCTCTCGGTCAGCCGGAAGGTCGCGGCAGCCAGTAGCACGAGGAAACACATGTGTGACGTCGTGTGGGTGATGAATTTGGTCACGGGGCAACGCATCACAGATCCAGCCTAAGGACGTGAAACAAGTCAGACACAATCAGATACACTTCTCCACGCTGAGATAAAGGATCAGATATTTAAGAATTCAGTAATAAAGAAAAAACAGCCATAACAGCAAGTAACCAAATTGTCCATCACGGACTGGTAGTGTTATACCAGTAATGTCTTATCTTATCTCGGACTGGTAGTGTTATACCAGTAATGTCTTATCTTATCTCGGACTGGTAGTGTTATACCAGTAATGTCTTATCTTATCTCGGACTGGTAGTGTTATACCAGCAATGTCTTATCTTATCTCGGACTGGTAGTGTTATACCAGCAATGTCTTATCTTATCTCGGACTGGTAGTGTTATACCAGTAATGTCTTATCTTATCACGGACTGGTAGTGTTATACCAGTAATGTCTTATCTTATCACGGACTGGTAGTGTTATACCAGTAATGTCTTATCTTATCTCGGACTGGTAGTGTGATACCAGTAATGTCTTATCTTAATATTTCTCATTGATCTACAATTGACTGGTAGTGTGATACCAGTAATGTCTTATCTTAATATTTCTCATGTATCTACAATAAACTTGTGGTGCTATATCAGTTATGTCTTATCTTAATATTTTCCCATTTATCTACAAAAGACTGGTAGTGTCATATCAGTAATGTCTTATCTTAATATTTCTTATATTTCTTCAATGGCCTGTTAGTTTTATATAAGTAATATCTTTATTGTGAGTGCTCCGGGTTCAATACCGGGATGGACTTGGCACTGGTTTAGGGTCTGACTATCGAACGAGTGACATCGATCTGGGCTACACGGAAGCGAAGGATGTGGTCTCATGAACGATTGTACCCCTCGTTTGTCAGTTCCTCAAACTGTTTGTAATGACCTTGAACCATGACCTCGTTTATGGAATCGATTACATGTAAAAACCTGTCCTGTGCTTACATACTGCTTCCTCTGCCATCTAATTGACAAGTGTGACCTATGGAGCATACCCGATGATTTGAGTTTGACTGGCAAGTGTAAAACTCTGCCCTGGGACCATCGATCCCAGAACGCCTAACTCGCATATTATTGGTTAATTGAATCGGTGCAGAGCCAACCAACACAGCTTATCAGTAAGAACAGCCAGTGGTTTATACAGCATAATATCGTTACCCTGACAGCTTGCATAGAAACACAACAATTTGTCAAACATTCCGGAAAGTATAGATATCTCAAATTATATGGAAATAGAAACACAACGATATGTCATAACATCCTGGAGGTATAGATCTCTAATATTATAGGGATAAGGAAAAACAACAATTTGTCCTAACGTCCTGGGGTTAATGATACCTAGCACTACAGGAATATAGAAACACGACAATATCTCCAAACGGGGTTAAAGATCTCTAGCATTACTAGCTCAGGACGGGTATCGAGTACAAAAATAGATGAAGCGATGGGAAATGAGGATAGTTTCGAAGTAAAACTGACTATCAGTCATACCTCTTAGTAATATTGTCAGTGACAGCGAATTGTAAAGAAGAAGTATGCTTGGCACACGTGGACAACACATTGCTGTCATGTGCACTAGATGTAATATTCCTGGTAATTGTCTGTCTTCAATAAAAGGTTTGAAATGTTTATATCTTTAATTGTTACAAAATAAATACACACATGAATAACACGTTTAGAATAAATAAGTCGCTTACACAACAAGCCTAACGTTTTCAGCGAACGTTGGATGGGGCACTGCTGTACTTTCGGCCGTAATTCTCTGATCGCTTAAAACGTTTGCATCAACAGATGTGACCTAGCGTCAAAACATCTTGGAAAACACTTAGTTGAACGGGATTACAGGTCCTGGTAAGAGCTGTTGAGACTGGCGAAAACATATTGGTACAGATGATATCGTGTGTTTACCCTAGAACCTGTACAGATACAGAGAGAACTTACTGATGTGCCCGGGTACAATGTAGATTAATGAAGCATTTATTCATACAAAATGTAAGCTAAGAATTGGATTCATATCCAGAATTATCATGTTGCAGTGTTTGCTTGTAGTAGCTGGCGACCAGTTTAATGAACATCATACAGGAGGCCGCGTATTATCTATGGTAACATGGTTAAGGTGTGTGGCATAAGGTAATGATACAGGTGTAAAGATAATACAACCTTGTTACGTATCACAGGTAAAACAGTAGCCGTAAATACAAGGTCGAGTAACATTTACCTTTGTGTTAGGAGCCATTACGTAAGCTACACACATCACAGGTATACACGGAATAAAGCACACGGCAAACGCAAGCTGCTTCCAGGACGGTAGCGACTGCAGAAATCCCATCTCAGACCCGTACCACAAGGTCGTCATGTGTTGCTGACAGTTAGGATGAGCAACAAACTGAAAAGAATTAAACGGAAATATGTTTTTCGTTCAACTTTACTTTTTTGTCGAGTTTAGTATATATCCAGATGATCATCAATTTTATATTAAACCATACTTATCTTTATATGTAGTTTACAGGGTTTTGTTCGAACGTCAGGTAAGTCGGTTAAAAATAAGTGTTCGTGCTCACAAAAAAACATCTATAAAGTTTCTCTATGTTTATTTTTGATAGTTCAAGAGAATTTATTAATGCGGTTTGCAAAGAACAGTTCGTGATCTCAATATTATGAATGACTTTTATTTGGACAACGCTCTGATCAGCATTAAAACATTGGTGATAATTGTCCAGAGAAACAACCAAAAAATCCACATATCACCAAAATAATAGTTCACATTCAAATTTGATGAAATTATGACAAACAATGAGGAACAGAAAGATTAACTTCTATAATGTTCCGAAAGGGTAAGCGTCTTCTGCTTCATTGATGGCATCCGCCATGTAAATCTTGGTCAATCCAAAGAGAACAACAACGGAATGACTTGCAAACATTTATATAAGACGTCCGAGGAATCCATGGTCCACAATGTATTTACAAAGAAAGGAGTTGCGGTCCCTTGGCTATTACAAAAAAGACTAGTAATACAAGTTCCTGGTCCCAAATGTATCTAGAAGTTTATGAGGTGTTCTAAAAATTAAAAATGATTACATTTTCCACTGTTACCTTTTTCTCGCGGTAACGTATGGCCATTTTGAGTCTGGCGAGAGGATCAACACGGACATCTTCTCCACATCCGGACCCTTCACTGAACACAGCCTCTACTTCCTGTGTTCCACGACACATGTCCATCAACTCACAGGCGAAGTTCATACATTGCTCGACTAGACCTAGGTATTCAGCCTGGGAAACAGACATGTATATTATTGTCAGGTATATCAAAAGAAACATTACGGAAACAAGACAAGCACAGAGGAAGTTATCAAAGTGGGACAAGGCACCGACATCTTTGTCAGAGGAAGTTTTCAAAGTGGGACAAGACATACACCGACATCTTTTTCAGAAGAAGTTATCAAAGTGGGACAAGACATACACCGACATCTTTGTCAGAGGAAGTTATCAAAGTGGGACAAGACATACACCGACATCTTTGTCAGAAGAAGTTATCAAAGTGGGACAAGACATACACCGACATCTTTGTCAGAAGAAGTTATCAAAGTGGGACAAGACATACACCGACATCTTTGTCAGAAGAAGTTATCAAAGTGGGACAAGACATACACCGACATCTTTGTCAGAAGAAGTTATCAAAGTGGGACAAGACATACACCGACATCTTTGTCAGAGGAAGTTATCAAAGTGGGACAAGACATACACCGACATCTTTGTCAGAGGAAGTTATCAAAGTGGGACAAGACATACACCGACATCTTTGTCAGAAGAAGTTATCAAAGTGGGACAAGACATACACCGACATCTTTGTCAGAAGAAGTTATCAAAGTGGGACAAGACATACACCGACATCTTTGTCAGAAGAAGTTATCAAAGTGGGACAAGACATACACCGACATCTTTGTCAGAAGAAGTTATCAAAGTGGGACAAGACATACACCGACATCTTTGTCAGAAGAAGTTATCAAAGTGGGACAAGACATACACCGACATCTTTGTCAGAGGAAGTTATCAAAGTGGGACAAGACATACACCGACATCTTTGTCAGAAGAAGTTATCAAAGTGGGACAAGACATACACCGACATCTTTGTCAGAAGAAGTTATCAAAGTGGGACAAGACATACACCGACATCTTTGTCAGAAGAAGTTATCAAAGTGGGACAAGACATACACCGACATCTTTGTCAGAGGAAGTTATCAAAGTGGGACAAGACATACACCGACATCTTTGTCAGAAGAAGTTATCAAAGTGGGACAAGACATACACCGACATCTTTGTCAGAGGAAGTTATCAAAGTGGGACAAGACATACACCGACATCTTTGTCAGAAGAAGTTATCAAAGTGGGACAAGACATACAACGACATCTTTGTCAGAAGAAGTTATCAAAGTGGGACAAGACATACACCGACATCTTTGTCAGAGGAAGTTATCAAAGTGGGACAAGACATACACCGACATCTTTGTTAGAGGAAGTTATCAAAGTGGGACAAGACATACACCGACATCTTTGTCAGAGGAAGTTATCAAAGTGGGACAAGACATACACCGACATCTTTGTCAGAGGAAGTTATCAAAGTGGGACAAGACATACACCGACATCTTTGTCAGAAGAAGTTATCAAAGTGGGACAAGACATACACCGACATCTTTGTCAGAAGAAGTTATCAAAGTGGGACAAGACATACACCGACATCTTTGTCAGAAGAAGTTATCAAAGTGGGACAAGACATACACCGACATCTTTGTCAGAAGAAGTTATCAAAGTGGGACAAGACATACACCGACATCTTTGTCAGAGGAAGTTATCAAAGTGGGACAAGACATACACCGACATCTTTGTCAGAAGAAGTTATCAAAGTGGGACAAGACATACACCGACATCTTTGTCAGAAGAAGTTATCAAAGTGGGACAAGACATACACCGACATCTTTGTCAGAAGAAGTTATCAAAGTGGGACAAGACATACACCGACATCTTTGTCAGAGGAAGTTATCAAAGTGGGACAAGACATACACCGACATCTTTGTCAGAAGAAGTTATCAAAGTGGGACAAGACATACACCGACATCTTTGTCAGAAGAAGTTATCAAAGTGGGACAAGACATACACCGACATCTTTGTCAGAAGAAGTTATCAAAGTGGGACAAGACATACACCGACATCTTTGTCAGAGGAAGTTATCAAAGTGGGACAAGACATACACCGACATCTTTGTCAGAAGAAGTTATCAAAGTGGGACAAGACATACACCGACATCTTTGTCAGAGGAAGTTATCAAAGTGGGACAAGACATACACCGACATCTTTGTCAGAAGAAGTTATCAAAGTGGGACAAGACATACAACGACATCTTTGTCAGAAGAAGTTATCAAAGTGGGACAAGACATACACCGACATCTTTGTCAGAGGAAGTTATCAAAGTGGGACAAGACATACACCGACATCTTTGTCAGAGGAAGTTATCAAAGTGGGACAAGACATACACCGACATCTTTGTCAGAAGAAGTTATCAAAGTGGGACAAGACATACACCGACATCTTTGTCAGAAGAAGTTATCAAAGTGGGACAAGACATACACCGACATCTTTGTCAGAGGAAGTTATCAAAGTGGGACAAGACATACACCGACATCTTTGTCAGAGGAAGTTATCAAAGTGGGACAAGACATACACCGACATCTTTGTCAGAGGAAGTTATCAAAGTGGGACAAGACATACACCGACATCTTTGTCAGAGGAAGTTATCAAAGTGGGACAAGACATACACCGACATCTTTGTCAGAAGAAGTTATCAAAGTGGGACAAGACACTGACCGACCGTATCGGGGAATTATGTAAGATACAACACAAGTACAACAGGTACATTGTGTAGGTAAGTTATCAGGAAGTTATGTATGATACAACAGGTACATTTTGTAGGTAAGTTATCGGGGAGTTATGTAAGATACAACAGGTACATTTTGTAGGTAAGTTATCGGGGAGTTATGTAAGATATAACAGGTACATTGTGTAGGTAAGTTATCGGGGAGTTATGTAAGATACAACAGGTACATTGTGTAGGTAAGTTATCGGGGAGTTATGTAAGATACAACAGGTACATTGTGTAGGTAAGTTATCGGGGAGTTATATAAGTTATAACAGGTACATTGTGTAGGTAAGTTATCGGGGAGTTATGTAAGATATAACAGGTACATTGTGTAGATAAGTTATCGCGGAGTTATGTAAGATACAACAGGTACATTGTGTAGGTAAGTTATCGCGGAGTTATGTAAGATACAACAGGTACATTGTGTAGGTAAGTTATCGCAGAGTTATGTAAGATATAACAGGTACATTGTGTAGGTAAGTTATCGCAGAGTTATGTAAGATATAACAGAAGTGCAACAGGTAAGTGCGTTGTCAGGGGAACAAGTAGATTAGTAAGAATAATATAAAATGTTGATCAGTGGGTTTATCATCAGACAAATTCATTTGATCATGTACTAAAGTATAACGCTGTCCTTCATTCTGACCTTCTTAAAAACCACTCACTTATAATAACAAAATATATCGTACTTATTAGAGTGACGAATATTAAGAGTACCGGACGACAACGTGGTGAATGTATCTATTTTAAGGCACAGCGACATAACGTGCTTACCGACGTACCATGAACTCTTTCTCGACTTCAGCAAGGTGCATCATTTCCTGTCGCAGTTCAAAAGTGGTCATAATTGGGTCTGCACTGGATAGCGCCATGTAGGCCGGGCTGGCCAGCGCCCGGTAGGCGTTCAGTCTTGACCTTGACCTTTTTAGTGCATCATAATTTTGCTTTGAGATACAGTCTGAACATCTACAAGAAATTGGGTGAGGTCGTTCTATCCGATGGTTTCTTGACAGAAACATCTGAACTATTTCATGGTTATTGTAGTGACTGGCAAGAATGATAGGTGTTATGTCAGGGGGAAACTGACTTTTTTCCTCTGTCCTGAAGAAAGCCTCATTGACGCCTGATATAAGAAACCTATCTTCTCCCGCGATAAAATTGGGATGTTCTGATATGACCTTGACAATTTTTGTGGCACCTTTACTGATGGCGTGAAGTAATGACTCTTCTATGCAGCCAAAAGACAGATTATCCAGAAGGATTTCTATCACATCAATCTTCTCACTATCCACCGCTAGGTGGAGGGCGTTACGCCCCATGTAGTCAACACAGTTAGCGTTAAGTGTGCCGTCTTGGTTCTCCTCCTCCAATGTTTCCCGTACAATTCCTGCGTCTCCCAGCGACGCGGCATTCAGATACACACGTTCTTCGTCCGTCAACTAAAACAGAAAATAGGCTATATTAAAGAAAACACGTCAATACATACTCTGACGTTAAACGAAAGATGATTACGTCAATGTGTTGAGAACAACGTCGTATTTCTGTAGCTAAAATGACGTTAAACGAAAGAAGATCACGTCAATGTGTTGAGAGCAACGTCGTATTTCTGTAGCTAAAATGACGTTAACCGAAAAATGATTACGTCAATGTGTTGAGAGCAAAGCCGTATTTCTGTAGCTAAAATGACGTCAAACGAAAGAAGATGACGTTAGTGTGTTAAGAGAAACGCCTTATTTCTGAAGCTAAAATGACGTAAACCGAAAGATGGTTACGTCAGTTTGGTGAGAGTAACGCCGTATTTCTGTAGCTAAAATGACGTTTCATAATGGGACCATGATGGTAACTACAAAAAATAGGCTTCATCAAACTGCATTGTTTAAAACCCCAGTGTTATGGCTTTATCTGTCAACCATAGACATCTTTCACGGAATCGTGATATTTGGAACAAGTCATTGAATACCAACCGCGGTATACATTACTATCTAGTAGAAATGAGAAAATTCGCGACATGAGTATCGAATTTTTTCATCTAAATGGAAAAACCGTCCCAGTTGGTACCATTGTGGGTAGAGATTGTGGTAAGAGCCGGATATAGAAGTGTCTGTTGTGTCCTTCGTGTCAAGGAAGTGATCCTGTTGTGGTTAAAATGAACAATATTCCATCTCAGTAGGCGATAGTATGATGGAAAAATATGTAGCATCCGCGTGAATCCTCCCTGACAGACCGAAACTCTGTCCAGTGGATACACGTATATCCTCCCTAACAGACCGAAAATCTGTCCAGTGGATACACGTGTATCCTCCTTACCAGATCGAAACTCTGACCAGTCGATACACGTGTATCCTTCCTAACAGACCGAAACACTGTCCAGTGGATACACGTGTATCCTCCCTAACAGACCGAAACTCTGACCAGTGGATACACGTGTATCCTTCCTAACAGACCGAAACTCTGACCAGTGGATACACGTGTATCCTCCCTAACAGACCGAAACTCTGAACAGTGGATACACGTGTATCCACCCTAACAGACCGAAACTCTGACCAGTGGATACACGTGTATCCTCGAAACTCTGACCAGTGGATACAAGTGTATCCAACCTAACAGACCGAAAATCTGTCCAGTGGATACACGTGTATCCTCCTCCCAGTGGATACACGTGTATCCTTCCTAACCGAAACTCTGACCAGTGGATACACGTGTATCCTCCCTAACAGACCGAAACTCTGAACAGTGGATACACGTGTATCCACCCTAACAGACCGAAACTCTGACCAGTGGATACACGTGTATCCTCCCTAACAGACCGAAACTCTGACCAGTGGATACACGTGTATCCTACCTAACAGACCGAAACTCTGACCAGTGGATACACGTGTATCCTTCCTAACAGACCGAAACTCTGTCCAGTGGATACACGTGTATCCTCCCGAACAGACCGAAACTCTGACCAGTGGATACACGTGTATCCTCCCTAACAGACCGAAACTCTGACCAGTGGATACACGTGTATCCACCCTAACAGACCGAAACTCTGACCAGTGGATACACGTGTATCCTCCCTAACTGACCGAAACTCTGACCAGTGGATACAAGTGTATCATTCCTAACAGACCGAAATTCTGTCCAGTGGATACACGTGTATCCACCCTAACAGACCGAAACTCTGACCTGGATACACGTGTATCCACCCTAACAGACCGAAACTCTGACCAGTGGATACACGTGTATCCACCCTAACAGACCGAAACTCTTACCAGTGGATACACGTGTATCCTTACTAACAGAACGAAACTCTGTCCAGTAGATACACGTCTATCCTTCCTGACAGACTGAAACTCTGTCCAGTGGATACACGTGTATCCACCCTGACAGACCCAAACACTGACCATTGGATACACGTGAATCCTCCCTAACAGACCGAAACTCTGACCAGTGGATACACGTGTATCCACCCTAACAGACCGAAACTCTGACCAGTGGATACACGTGTATCCTCCCTAACTGACCGAAACTCTGACCAGTGGATACAAGTGTATCATTCCTAACAGACCGAAATTCTGTCCAGTGGATACACGTGTATCCACCCTAACAGACCGAAACTCTGACCTGGATACACGTGTATCCACCCTAACAGACCGAACCTCTGACCAGTGGATACACGTGTATCCACCCTAACAGACCGAAACTCTTACCAGTGGATACACGTGTATCCTTACTAACAGAACGAAACTCTGTCCAGTAGATACACGTCTATCCTTCCTGACAGACTGAAACTCTGTCCAGTGGATACACGTGTATCCACCCTAACAGACCCAAACACTGACCATTGGATACACGTGAATCCTCCCTAACAGACCGAAATTCTGACCAGTGGATACACGTGTATCCTCCCTAACAGACCAAAACACTGTCCAGTGGATACACGTGTATCCTCCCTAACAGACCAAAACACTGTCCAGCGGATACACGTGTATCCCCCCTGACAGACCGAAACACTGTCCAGTGTATACACGTGTATCCTCCCTAACAGACCGAAACTCTGTCCAGTGGATGCACGTGTATCCACCCTAACAGATGGAAACTCTGTCCAGTGGATACACTGGCAAACCTAGCTTTAAATTGACCTTATTGTCCATGTACGTTTTCAGGAGTCTCCGTGTAAATATTTGTTTTGTTCATATCTTACCCTAGTTTTATTGAATTTTAGTTTGATCGTTATCATGTTGACATGTTGGTATTTCTTAACAATACGCCTGGAAAGAAATTAAACCTTAAGTTTGGGTCGGGCTCCAGATAAACATTGGTAGACCAATGCTATTACGTCAGTCTATGTCTCTGTTTTGTTAAGTGCACGCGAGACTATAAATCAAGTTAAAATATATTACTTTATCTTCGCAAATCAGAACTGTGATAATGCACGTAGAGACCTCGGAACATAACGACATTAATTCAAAACATTATGAATGGCCCACGATAGATTTGGGGAAAACAGAAGTTGTGGTGTACATCAATGATATATGTAATTCTTATAAAGCACGCGCGCTGTGTGACATTATTCATACTATGTGTATTGTAACACATACTTGACTTTTTTCTAACGTTGATTGTACCAGTATCAGTCATCTGTTCGATTAAGTAATTAATTACAGCGGTAGAAATGACCATAAAGTGTTTCAACAGACTCGGGGGTGGATCCTCGCGGACCAAAAGTCACGTGGTTTGTCCACGGTTGTGTTCACGCGCTCTTCATCACAGAGAAAAAGGCGCCATTATATCAACCAAATCCTATCATCAAGACGCTTTACACAGATACGAGTTATCACTAACACAAACGTCAAACCAAACAGTGTACAATATCTATTGGATAGTACAAACCGTTCAGTAGAAGTCAGCCCACTCTATATAAATATGATTGGGTTGTCTTCTCCACGTCATAATTGAGTTCACCTCAAGCCTGCTATAGTACACGATTGTTCTATAATCGAAACACGATCTGCCGACGTACCAGGATTGAATGGCACAAGCCTGGCAACGCCGACGATCCGGAGCCGACAAGTAACAAACAAGGCGAGATTTAGTGTCCACTAAACTAGCCCTCAGCAAGACGGAAATTAGTAGCACAGTCGACCATCCCTGCAGAAGGTTGAAATAAATAGGCGGCAGAACTAAGCGAGATGGGGATTACATTGTTTGTAATGAATTGACGAATAAACATAAAATAACAGTTAAAGAAAGAACACAGGAAATGAAAATAATTCAAAGACTTCGATTTTCAAGACGATATTAATATCTTAGCGCAATTAATCAGGATCAGTGCAAACAGCTGATCAGGACCATCTATTTCAGGAACGTTAACACAAGGCACCGTAGCCCCAGGTGTCCCTCGTGTTAGGTTTAAACACTAAACGTGTTTAAGTCCTAAACATTGCAGAAATGTTAGCAGCTACACTAGGAACTGTGTGCAATTTGTATAAAATACCATCGTTCAAAACGAGTTAAAAAGTAGTAAACGTGAATGACTATACACGATAGGGACTGAGAATGTTGAACATCAAATACTATAAATAAGTGTGTACAAGAATGGGAAAGCATACCATGGTTTTTACGTCACTTTCCACAGAAAATCATCAAAGATGAAATCAAGTATATTCAATCAATAACGCCCTTTGAAAATCTACCAAATCTCACATCTTAGATGTTAAATGATATTCCTATCTAAATAAAATTTCCTTGAAAATTTCCAAATCAATAAGGTCTTCTCTTTCAGTATAAACTATATTGAAACAATAAAGATGTACTATAACACTTTGATAGAACGACCATTTTGTAGAGCTGCCAGATCGAGGTCCAAAGTAGGACAAACGCTCATACTTAATTAAATATTTCACGAGGTTTTCTACTGATAACAGAAACTATACAAAAATACAGCATATCTGGAAATCAACTGACATCTGTACGTTCTCAAAAACAATTTCTCACTCAAAATGTCATAAAACTCTTATTTTAAAAAAATGAATAATAGAAATTACAAGCTTGTTTTTATGATGTCAATTCTGCGTGTTGTTTGTACTGTACCATTAAGTATCGTTCAATTAGATTCGAAAAAAAACCAGTATGTCTTGATAGCTATAGTAGATATAACGTCTATATAAGTGATTACGACAAAACATCATATAGCTCTGTATTTAGTGTACAAACATATCTACATTGGATACATTCCTAAAAAGACAGTAATAAGGATAGAGCGGACAAAGTGATTCATACAAAACTCAAAATAATCTTCGTTTTGTCAAGACACAAGCATGCGACAGTAAAAACATTGTAAAAAGGCCAATTCCTTACCTGACAAGGAAAACAGATATTGATATGCTCTCGTCTAGTTGAATGCCGACCATGTTTTAAAACTTAAAACTGCCTTGTTAACTACATTTTCGTG